TCTAAAGACAACACTTGCACAACATGTTGTAACCAAATAAGTGGTACATTTTTACAAGACTTTATTTGGAAAAATTATAGCTGCAAGCAAAAGTGCCTTATGAGGCACTCTAATGTTTGAGAGTTAAATGTAACCCAAATATTTTTAGAATTCATTTCCTTTCTTTAAGGAAATGACTTAAATATATTTAGAATTAATTTCCTTTCTTTAAGGAAATGACTTAAATATATTTAGAATTAATTTCCTTTTTAACCTGGTTAACACTGTTGGTGTAGATTGCATTTGCAAGCGGAGTCTGCACAGAACATCTGCAGCACACATCAAAATGCTTACACAGAACAAACTTACTTTAAATATAATTAAACCATTAATTACAGACTAGGTAGACAAACTGCAGCTTTTCCTCTATTTATTAGACATTGGCATATATTTGATCATCCCAGTCAGTCTGAAAAACAAATATAATGTAAAATTATTGCATTTACTCAAGAATTTGTGAAAGTAGAGATGAATACATACCCCAGCATTTCCATTCACATCTTCATTCATATAAATATTAGAAGAATGTGGATCATCACAAGTCTTGTTCCTGGGAATACAAATCATATGTTTTGAAAACAATTATAAATAAGATGAAAAGTTTGCTTAGTTGAGTGATGAGGATGTTTTGAGACCTTCTCTTGGGGGTCCTGACTTCTTTGTGTCATTTAAGTGTCTCTAGGTTTCCCCCTGCTGGCCGAATAAAGGTATAACTTTAAAAGTATAATTTTCTAAGAGGAGTCTACTATTCATGGCTTTGTGCATAGAATCCTGTTAGAGCTATTGTCTCCTTAAGGTTAACTTCGGTCAGAAAAAATATAATAAGCTACACGGATTCATAGTGTGAAATAAATTTGTCATAAAATGCAAAGAATCATAAATAAAATCTAGAACTACCTGAGGAGGAAGCATTGTGCATATAAAAACCATGAACAAGAACATTCCCAGATGGATTTAGGCCTGTAGAGCCTAAATTTATTTAGGCTCTACAGGCTTTTCCTGAAGGATAATCTAGGACAGGTCCTATTTCAAAAATAGCAGCCAAATTAAAACCCTTCGACATTTCCTCTGAATCATCAACAGGCAGACTATCTTCCAATCAATACCCAAATATTTAGAGGATGATATTTTATCAAGAAGGCCGTCCACTGATCAGAAATACCAGTATCATCAAGATTTAGGTTTAACTCTAGAAAACGGCATGATTTGTTGTCTTCATGCTAAGGATCAGCTTCAGGTCATACATTGATGTATCATGTTATCTACATAACAATGCACTTAATCTGTAGACCAGGGGTTTCCAAAGTCGGTCCTCGTGGGCCGGCATCCTGCATGTTTTACTTCTCTCCCTAGTGGTAGCAACAACCTCTTCAGCAAGTCAATGTTCTCCTTAGGCCTTCTAACGAGCCATCATTTGATGCAGGTGTGCTGAACCAGGGAGAGAACTAAAACATGCAGGATGCCGGCCCACGAGGACCGACTTTGGAAGCCCCTGCTGTAGACACATTCTTTCAAGTGCATGAAAAAAATTAGGTCAAAAACTGCCTTTAGAAATTCTCTAAATATTTAACATATTTACATTAAAATATTAATTTTAATGTAAACGTTAAAATGTTTACAGATAGAATACACAGATAAATTGTATGTGTCACTATGTCAGTGTTTTGGGATGTGTTGTGGGTTTCTTTGTTTCATAGGTTTAGTTTTCTGTCCTATGTCAAGTTTTATTTCTTGTCTCTATGGATCTAGGTCATTGGTTCTCCAGCTCTGTCTCCTCTGTTGATTTAACACATGTTTTTCCACCTGTGCCTCCTGATCAATTATTCACCTCACCTGTTTCCTGTAGTATTTAAGTTAAAGCCATGTCCTTGTCTGTTGCTGGATTGTGTGTGTGTCTCACCTGGCGACACCCTTGTTTTGTCTACTCGTGTCTGAAAAAAAAAAAAAATCAGTAAAACTGCAAGATGCCATGCCAATGTTCATTTTTTGGTTCACCTTCACTTCCTAAAACACCTTATCTGACATTATATGTCATTTTTTACTCATAAAACATTGAGCTGGACAGGCCGTGAAACATTTTTTTCCCTCGTTGTTGATAGCACAATACATTGCTCCTTTTGTTCGAGAAACATTTGACACTATGTAGAGGTTTCCCTGAGAGATCTTTGCTCCAGTTTCATTGTGCCACTCGTAGGGACTGACAGGAGGGTGAGACTCACTGGAGCAAGTGAGAGCCACAGTTTCTCCCACCTTTACGTCGACTTTGTACTCAATATTCACATTCAATGGTGCATCTGCATGAATATATAAACACCCTTCCCATATTAACTATACCGTTTGTGATGGCATCTGGTATGAGAATATCATGAAAAAGGTATATCCACAGAAATTGTTGTCCTCATAGGGTGGTTCGGCTTACAGATGTAGAGGCAAACAGGATTTTAGAAATATGCCATGATAATATGGTAATTAATTATAGCATCATGAAACAAAATTACAATAAATCAATGAAAGTTGGTTCATGTTGGCTTTCTTAGCTCACAATGTTTAGGTGGTGAACATTAATTCGTTAATTTTAACCTGGCAGAATGAATTTGAACTAGTTCTTGTTTAGGAAGAACTGGCAACACATTGACATACATTTATTTGTAAAATTATCTACAAAACAGTGAATTCTTAAAACAATCATGCAGCAAAATGCAACGTTGTCACACCACCTCTTCAGCTTTTTTTGACCTCAATGTGGCTTCCGTGACTTATGTTTATATTGCGTTCTCTATATTTTCACTTCTCTTTTAAAAGGTTTTAAAAAGCAAAACTCATTGAATCTTCTAAGAAATGGGCTACAGCAAAAAAAGAGACCAGTGTGGAAATAGACCAAAAACTCTGATGTTACAAACACCTTGTTGGGTCCAACCAATAACAAGGAATGTGTAAATGATAAAGTGGCAGAAGAGTGAATTTTCAAACAAAGAAACCACAATAGTGGTGTGGCTGTCTGTGCGGTAGTTTCCTTGCAAAATTGAAAGCTGTGGGTTCAATTTCAGCTTCCTACTGTCATATTGACGTGTCCATGGGCAACTGAGTG